AATGCTGGTTGACTACATCCACGTGATCTATTTGCTTTGCAAAATACGATGTAACATAACATAACCAGGTCATATTATACCCACTGGTGAGATGAGATGTTTTGCAAGACTGCTAATAGGTATACTTAACACTATTTTGCTCCATAAATATGTTCATGCCAGACCATTCACTCATGGACTAACATGAGTAAAGCAGACAGGGATTACTTTCTATCTCTGATGATCCATGGCGTTTGAGGCTCTTCCTATCAAGGACCTTATGTACAATTGCAGATGCCACAAGGTGTTGGTTGATTGACTCCATCAACGTGATTGCTCTGCTTTTGAAAATAGGGTATTTTGGTTATCCAATGCACTTTCTCTGGTGGTGCAGTCCTCTGGACTCTCCAACTTACTTTTTTCCCTCCTTCTTCTAGTGGAGTATGGGAGTCCTTGCTAATTACCAGTTCCTAGTTGCTGGGGTGGTGGACTGTGGAGGCCTGTCCTTTTGAGTGTGCACAATACCACTCAGTTGAGAGTAGGGTGGTAGCATTGTGCTGTTGTAGATGGCCTGATGCCCTTCCAAACATGACCTGATATACAATTTCAGATGCCAACAGGTGTTGGATGAAGTACTCCCCATTTATTGCAGTTTGCCCCTCTGGCTGAGGCACCTTTCTTCCTACTGTCTGCCAGATGCTTGTTCTCGGTGGATCTGGTGTTGGTTGGAGCCAGACCATGTGTTTGGGTGGTTTACCCTTCTCTTACTGCAAATTTGACAATAAATTCATAATTCCGCCAGGTTTTGGACTGGAGATGCAACCCTAAATAGTAGTTCCTCTTCCTACCATCTGCCGATGTCAGTTACCAGTAGATTTGGTGGTTGTAGCTGGATGAGACACATGAATTTCCACATGTGTAATTCTGGGCACCTTTTTCCTACTGCAAACTGGATGCATAATTCCCAATACCACCAGGTTTTGGAAAGAAGATGAACACCCACCTAGGCTTTCCACCTTCCTACCATCTGCCGGATGTCAGTTCCAAGTGAGTCTGGTGTCAGATGTATTGGAGGTGCACACGTGTGGAGGCAACTTCTTGGTATGGAAGCTCTTTTTCCTTGCCATTACCAATTTTTGAGGAAAATGGTAGAGAACTCACTTCCTACCATGGACCTGATATACAATTCAAGATTTTGCCAGGTGTTGTTTGAGTTCAAACTCCCAATTACAGTTTTTCATGCCCTAGTCACTACACCAAGGGTTCCCTTTAATTTCTCTAACTTTTCATAGGGTCCCTCCTTTGTTTCTGCCCTTTTGGCAACACCTTACTAATGGACAATAAGTATACCTGGGTCAGAAGTGGTGCAGTATCCCGCGAGTGTGTTGTTTTTAATTCATTCTCATACCTCATGATTTTTTGGGGGGCACTTCCTAAAGGGAAATCACCTTCTCACTAGCCCTCCACCCATTTAATGTAGGATTCTAGCTTTTAATGAGAAGAGGATGTAAGATACCATATTGAAAGTTAACATTTTCCTAATCTGAAAATGTATTTCTGATAGATACTTACCTCCTCTCACATTTCCCATCTGTCCTCCCCACTTTCAATGTGGTTTAGTTTGATCTGACCAATGTCTAAATGCTTAACAGCTGCAAAATTAGAGAGAGTACTAGTTACAATAGGGGTAGTGTTGCACTCCTATTGGTGGAAGGTCGCTGCATAATCATTCAAATGTTAGTATGTAGATATCTCACATTAACATACATGAGGGTAAATGGAAGTATCAAGGCTAGTGAAAGTATGTACCAATAGAAGGCAGTATATGTCAAGAAAAGTTTTTATGAGAGCAGGTATGTATCTATGGGAAATACATTTTCAGTTTAGGAAAATGTTAACTTTACTAGCAAATAATGGGATTGATTGTGACATGACTTGAGAGCTGTTACTAATTCTTTTAGTATGACTGCATGAGATTGTATACATACATTCTGCTTTCATACAACTCACAAATGTGAGGATGTAGCCTAGTGGCTGTTAGTTACATAACTAGCCACAGTGATGCCTGTTGTTTGTGTTTTAAATGTTTGGATTAAACAGTAGTGTAGTTTCAACTTAGTTTACTGATTACTTATTACAAGCTGCAAAGTTAACCAATGTTACTTAGAGTAAGATTGCTTTAATAAAAGAATTCAGGGTGAGTTAATATTCATTATTCTTAATTCACTCAGAAACAAAGATGTTAATAGTTTAATAATTCATTAATTTAGCTTTCAAAAATTTCTAAACATAGGCTAATGACATTTTAACAATATGTGACATAGTTAATTTGTTAATATATTTTTACAATCAATACTTCTGTTTAATTATGACTAGCTCTAGCTAGATAGAAAACATTTAAAAGGGAAAATGAAAGTCAGTTACTGGTACTATGCCACTGTCTAGTACAGTAAGCCTTATGTTGTTTGATTTATTGATTTTTTATTGAAGCACATTTGTATGTCTCTACAGTTTCTTCCATGCATACGGTACTGTAACATGTAAAGTATTAATCATTTCACCATGCTCTTTCTAAACTTCCATCCACATGAACAACTTTTTGCATGAAAGCTTATGGAAGTTTTGTTATTTTTATAAAGTTATCAATAATGTTTTTTACAATGATGAATAATTTTTGATCTCAGGAAAGACATCATTTAGTATCACTACAAGCTTTCTTGCCAAATAGTAAACATTGTAAGGGGTTTGTTTTTCTAGGGTTAGAGTGAATTTTGTTTCACTCAATTATATATTATCTACCACACACCATGATAAAATCTTTAGTATTTTTATCATATGATATCTAGGGACAGTTATTTTTAAAGAAGAGTTAGTTTATTTAATTTTAACAGAGTAGTCTTGTGAAAGTTTGTACGGAGAAACCCAAGAATGCTATTAATCATATTTTCAGCTTGTTAAAACTTTCCTACCAAATTGATTATATATTTTCATGTACAAGGGTTTAGGATTAAAAAAGTAACTTAGTCCTAAATTGGTGTACCTGAAGATGTCTTATTGGCCCATCTGAAGTAGTACTATGCTGTTTTTATGCTTAAGAATAATTAATGGAGTATATAAATATTTCAGTTTAATAATATATGAACATATAAGTTGTCTAAAAATTAATATATACATTTTAAAACATAATAATCTATAAACAAAGAAATGTATATACATGTAGTAAAGTGCATGTTCATCTTAAATCCGTAAGAGTTATTCCATCTCACTAGTTTTAGCCTAAACCAAGTTTCAAGATTTTGTCAACAAACAGTATCAAAATGGTGACTGTTCACTGAAAAGCACATACCAATCAACATGATTAATTGGTAGGAAGAACTTGTCAAACTAATTTGATTGATTTCTTTACTTGTTTATTCATAAATATTAATCAACATCTTTATTCTCATAATATGATTAAGACATGTTTCATACAAAGACTCATCTGTAACAAGATTACAGCTGTTTTGTGGGGATTCTGTTCAAGGCCAGTTAAGGATATAACAACATATGGCTAAAGCGATCTAATTTTTTATTCCATGTGAATAGTAATCTGCCTATTCATGGTTGTAATTATCTATTTCATTCTCATTTGACCTTGTATGAGTAGCACACACAATCTCAAACCATGCCTATAGAAGAGAACAGAGGATGACAAAAGTCATATGGATATAATGTTAAATCTATAATTATGTAGACCAACATATATTTTTTGTATGGTTTAAGATATGTACAACTGTAGCATATTTAAGTCAAACTGATTTCCCCTTAGAACATTGGGACATCTCTGCAGAATAACAGGAGATTCAACAAGATATTTTTTATGAAGTAATTGTGAATTCTCTGACTTTTTCTGAGATTGAGAAAGATAAAAAAGACTGGACACAGTTTGAAACACTCAATGAAAACAATGTTTATTTATACTTAAAAACATAGTGAAAATAAAGTGTGTATTAGATTAAAGACAGCCTCTTTACTTGATAGTTATTTCTCTAAACTCTCACCACAACCTATAAAGAGGTTTATTAAGAACTAGTTAATGTGATGGGTTATACTTTAGGAGAATATTACTATTTACAGGAAGAATTTAAACTTCACTTAGTGACTGAGGGCTTGAGCTTGAGAGAGAGAGAGAGAAAGCTAGCTAACATAGAGATCATAGTATTACATACCAAATTCTATAATGCTGTGTTTTTGGGATACAAACCCCATCAGTTTTACTATTGATTAATCCCAATATAACGTAAGAGAGATTATAAATTTGAGATATCATTTGACTGATCAATTGAGAAAACTACTATCGAAATTCTTACACAACATGTAGCCTTACAGCCATACATTCCATGTGAAAAAAAAGGGGGGTTTTTGTCTAGAGAATTAAAAAGTAACAAAAGCAGCTAGGACAAAATCAGCTTAACAGCTTTCTTGACCATGTTTTATATTAAAACTGTACATTTTTAGAATCACTGATAAATTTAGAATAATAGTATATTAATATAAAAAGATAGAAAATGCATGGTATGTTTATATACCACACAACCATTTGTAGACACTTTGTGTTAAGCTCTTTTTTTTTATCATTACAGAGTTATTCTATTTTTATATACTTCCTATATATATTAAGTTTATAATGTTTTTGTTAAAATAATGATAACTCCTTTTTCTTTCTGAGTTTTCTTGTAAACACTTAAAAATGTTCTTTATACTGTTACATATGATTTACATACAAGTTATGCAGTCTATTCATAAATTTTACATTATATTCAATAACTTTAAGTTTAGACTTATTAAGTACTATGGTTAATTTTAAAGACTTGATTCATAAAGTAATAGATTTGAAACCAATAGTAATATAAATTACAGTCCAAATTAGCTAATAAATATTAGGTTTATAGTGTTCAGATTGCATTAATTCATCATTTGAGTACCAATGCTGTTAACGTTTTCATGGTAATACAATAAAATTAATGTGATTATATCTTTAGGAGAACACATATGGCTTGTACTAGATGGCCCTGTTGATGCAGTTTGGATAGAAAACTTGAATTCTGTGCTAGATGATAACAAGACACTAACTTTGGCTAATGGTGACCGTATTCCTATGACACCACATTGCAAAATTATATTTGAAACTCACAATATAGACAATGCTTCACCTGCAACAGTATCACGTAATGGAATGGTGTACATGAGTTCTTCGGGGCTACCTTGGAAACCCATTCTAAAGGTAATTTATTTGAAATAATTCATTGTAATTGATTTGTACATATTCGTTCATTAAAGATTCACATTTATTTATATTGATATCTTATGGAAATATTATTATAAAACATCATATATATTGTATTAGGTCATCAAGAAATTAATGGTGTGTTTTGGAACACTTTCATTAACCACCCTCCAAAAAAACGTACATTACATATAATAGTTAAACGAACTCCCAAACATCACGTTAGTGTAGCCGATATAATGTGTTAAGT